GGGGTGCCCTATAGCTCACCTGGTAGAGCTGGTGCCCCATGTACCAAGGCTGAGTCCCTCCTGCAGCGAGTCTGACATGCGGCCCTTTGCTGCGTGTCGTCCCCTCTCTCCTCCACCTTTCCTGTCATTCTTCAGCTGTCACTATCGATTAAAGGCAGTAAAAGACCAAAAAAGAGAGGTTAGAGAGAGTGTGCAACTCCTACAGTGTGATGTAGAAACTCAAAGCTACCAGTGCACATCCACTGAGAATGGATTTTACAACAATCATGCATACTTACAAGGCTTTTTTTTTTTTTACAGATTCAGTGGTTTCTTTTCATTGTTCTACTAGCTCTTTGGTTGTTTTAAGTTTTTTAATGCAGGATGAGGCTGTTTATCAGAAGGTGAAGACTCTGTGAATATAGCTTGTGTTCAGGTCTTCATATTAAATAAAAATCTAACCTTAAAAAATAATTTAATTAAGTTTTAATTTATTTAATTTCTATGGGAGCCTGAGGGGAACAATTTATTGATGTTCTGCCCATTGACACTGGTTCTGCCATATCTTCGGCCCCTGACTGTCTAAATAAAAGGAGAGCAGCCCCAAAGAGGTTTTACAACATCTTGCTCACTAACCAACATAACACACATTCACTTACTATGCCCTCAAAAAAACACTACAACAGATGTGTGTTTGTGGTCACTGTAGCTAGGCAGCGCGCTCAGTAGCTTCGGTACTTTCCGCCCATTTCCGCCATTGCATCGTCTCGGAACTTCCCATTTATTGCCTCCATTTTGCTCTCGTGTGTACGTGTGCGTGCGCAGTGTCGGTGTAAACTGGAGAGACAACAGGACCGAAAGCGGAGGCACTGAGAAATTTCTACAGAAATGGACGGGTAATCTTTTATCAGCGATGCTAACCGCCTCTAATGAGACTTATATCGAGCTACTACAGGGCGCTAAGCGTGTGAATGCGTCATTTTCTGGAGGAGCTGAGGAGGAGTCGCACGCTTGTGTTAACGGGTTTCCATAGCCACGCGCTCCTCTTCCATTAAGGAAGTGCCTGATGTTAGCATGCTAGCACAACTTAGCTAACGCCCGCTGTTTATTCCATTAGCTGCATTGTTGCTCGCCTTGATAAACATGCTTTGCGCCCTAGAGACGTGTTAATAGTGTTCCTTGCTCCATTTTCCTCTGTTACAGTATTTTCCAAAAGCGTCCTAACGAAGCGGCTAGTGAAGTTTAGCAAACCGTTGTGCTAACAGATAACTAATGTAACGTTGCAGTAACGTTCACCCTTTGTGTTGTAGCTAACTAGCTAGGTTGTTTAGTAAATCGACTGGGTGTTCTGATAAGCATGAGATGTGTCCTGCTTTTAAATCAGTCTGTGCCAGCACCACTTCAACAAGCGCTCCTCCAGCAAAGTTGTACGGCGTTAAATGGCAACTGCCGTTGATATTATTCTAATAGTGTTACAGCGAGTTGGCTGTAAAGCGTAGAACATTAAGTGTACAAGGGTTTGCATGCATTGAATGAAACATGACCTCAGCGTTGCTTGTAAATGCAATGAATCATAAATGAGCCCCCTGGGAAATGGGTAGCTGGAAGAGCATGCAGTTAGAGGTTATACAGGCATAGCTAAAGTTATATACATGCATAACACAGCTGTACACTTAAGCATTTATAAGAGGGAGTGTGAATTAATACTAATCACAAAGCATTGGAAGTTTGGAGATTAGGGCTGTGTGATACGGTAGAAGCATCATATTGTGATTGTTCTGGCAGATATTGGGATATGATCCACCCTTAGTGTGGGAATGATCATTTCTGCATCACAGACATGTTTTTTTTAAGTCTGAAGAACACAATTTGTAGGTCAGGGAATCTCTACAGCACTACAGTACTTCATTATAATGAATTAATAAATTATGTTTTACAGATAATGCGATTGTGATATGATTCATGATTAGTGGAATTTTGCAATCACGATTTTAATTTTCACTGAACAAAACTAAATTGTGATGGTGTGACATTTGTTGGGTTCTATACCAAACAGGTTTTCTTACATCTGGAGAAGAAAGATTTGAAGGCCAGGGAATCTCTTTAGCACTACAGTACTACATTATAAGGCTGGCTGTTTGTCTCACAGTTTACCTTTTGATTTGGATATTGCACTTGCGTTTTCGATAATATTTAGATTAATTGTGCAGCCCTACTAGAAAATAAATAAATATATATATATATATATATTAGTAGGTATTCAATGTATACAGAACAGTTTTGGTAATCAGTTGGACTAATATTGTTGTCATTGAGCTAGTATGTAAACGTAACTGGCATTAGTTTGTGTAAGCTGTCCTACAGGGTTCCCACGCATCCTTGATGCTCCTACGCATCCTGCAAAACACTTGGAAATTTAGAGACTTGTTTTCCTGTCATGGAAAGCACCTGCAAATGACAAAATAACCTGAGTGAATTTCTAAAATGGAACAGAATGCTCAGGGAAGCTCAGTGGAAATTGTGTAGGCTGTATCTACATGCATGCATGTTAATGATCCAATTTGTTGTTGTGTTTGATAAATACATGCACAGCCATGATAATTGTAATTGCAACAAACACTTTACTTTTTCTGGTAGATACATTTTCTGTAATATAATGTCAATTCTACTTGATTTGAACTAGAGGAATTAGAGCAAAACTGTAGTCAATTCCAATATCATCCAACTGCAG